CAATCTTAGTTTTTTAGTTCAGGGGTCTTGTCCACAGTGGACAAAAACAAATAAAAAAGTTGTTGCCTTCAATTTTTAAGTACAATCGACTTGAATGTTTAAGTCAAACCAGTTTCAACTTAAATTATATTAAACAGACTTAAAAAATGAGTTGAATCTTGTATAACATAAAAAAGTTGGAAATTGCTTAACTTATTTTGATTAATGCAATGTAAAAACATATCTTGTCATAACTTATTGATCATATACTTTTTTACAGTGTGCCAAGTATTTAATCAAACCAAAGCTAAAGTTAAGAAGCTTTAAGTTCATCAAAAATATTTTCGATATTAATATATATATATATATATATATATATAAATAAAATACAGTAAATTTTGTACATCAGTTGTCTCTCTGTCCACAAATGGGGACTGACAAAGGTTGAACCTACTGTTGTAGATTTCAGTCTTTCTATTTATGATTGTTATAAACTTTATACTTTACTAAATATATAACTACAATTCTAAAATCTCCACTTGAGAAAGTGTACCATTCAAAATCTAACTGACATGCTCAATTGCATTGGTATTATTATTTTTTTTGCATATTTGCTTACTGAATTCAGATTTTGTGATTTGCGTCACGTGTTGCTTCTCATGTAACTGACAGTAAACAACACATCATAACGGTTTAGTTTAAAGCTGTTCTGATGTGGCATTTAATTTATGCAGATCAAGTGTGCCGCACAAGTCCACAAGGCCATATTTGGACATTGGCGGCTTCATTTCTCTACAATAGAAGAGAGTGAAGGTGCATCGCCCATATTTTTTTACAGTCCATTATTTTTTGCTGTCTTAAATGCACTAGTATTTCCTTCAGGAAATGCAAATACAATTTATATGCAAGCAGCATACCCGGGAATTTTTTTTAAAGTTTATGTTTACATCTTAATGCCTTAATTGAAGAGCAAGGTCACAAACAAGCTAAAAAAGGCAGTTCTGTCAATAAAACAAACTCATTGCTGCCTGAGGAACAGTTTCTACTCCAAACACACCGAACTGAAGTGTGTGCTTATGTGTTTTAAGGACTTTTTCTTTTCTTTAGACCTTTAACAGCTTCAAGCTTCTGTGCTTATTATAGACATAATGTTTTACATTCACAAATAACAATTGTACCATAAAACATCTCTGTTTACTACCAGTATTTGTGTGTCTCTCAGGGTAGGGTGGGTTTATGTGTTTGTAAGTGTACAATTTATTGCAGTCATTTGAAGCACCAGAGGGCAGAGAAAGTTTGAACTAAGGTGTGTTTTTTTATAGATATTGACAAATGCAACATGTACAGAAGAGGGCCAGAGGTTTAAGCACCTTCATTCATCTCATGCGCCGCTGTTCTGCTCCCTTACGCACCATTATAATGTTATTACTTTACACTGATGGAGCCCTGCAAACTATTAGGCTTTAAATAGATCAGGTATTTTCATCAAATGGGAGTTTTTGCCCAGCAGTACTCGGTTTGGGCATGATTTGGGCACATAACAGCATCTTTCTGCAGTAAAATAATTAACTTTCTCAATTTGTTCCCAAATATATACTTGTTTAGGTCCTCTGTAGTTCTCAATGTTCCAGAAACCGATCACACTAAAAATAACTTTTCTTCTATATTTTCATACTAATTCTATAACATTTTATTGAACTGAAAGCTGTATTTTTAAGGCAATGGTAGCTCCTTGATTTGATTATAGTTATTGATTCTCACTGGAGGCTTGGAAATGATTTGATGTTTATGGTTATGGCTACCCAGCAAAGATATATGAAATACACTTTTAAAGCGGGTATACATAACTGGCCTGGAGAAACCTGTTATTTTTCTAAAGAACATTAAAACGAACACGAAACTCTGCTTTCATTTTAAATCACCCCTTAAGCTGAGGACACACTAAACGACTGTAAGGCCGATTATGAATGTAATTTGATACTTATGACTGATCATGCCCAAACTCGCAGGGTCAGAGACAGTTGCGTTCAGTCGGTGTTTAAAATCTGCTGCAGTCGTTGGAAACAGTCTGTCTGTAAGTGTGTTCAGTTCAGTCTTAGAATGTTTCAGCTAGGCGTTAAGTGTGTCCCCGGCATTAGCGGTCAGTGTTCAATGTGATATGGCATTTGGTTAGTTTCAAAAAGGAAAAAAAATACCTCAGGGGCATGTATTCAAGGACACATTCAGCAGGGAAAACCAGTAACATTATTTACATTTCTTTTCATAACTCAAAAACTACGACAGACAGACAGACACAGACAGACAGACATATGTCTCTTGGGATTCACTATTACTGTAATAAGAAAAGTAAATCAATAGAGAAAACCAAATAGCTTTTTGGTTTGACTCTGAAGAAGCTCTTAACCTATTTCTATGTGTGAAGTCTGTATGTGAATATGGAGTTCACAAGGATGCTTAAAGGTTCCTTAAAGCTTTGTGTGTGTGTGTGTGTGTGTGTGTGTGTGTGTGTGTGTGTGTGTGAGAGAGAGAGAGAGAGAGAGAGAGAGAGAGAGAGAGAGAGAGAGCACATGAGGGACAGAGAGAGTCCTTCCACTACAGAAGTGACACTTGACTTAGACAGAAGGTACTTTTCATCAGCAGACACTCAGGGTCACACCTCCTGCTGGTTCAATCACACTGTACGTAACACGGATTAGAGCAGGCTTTTCTCTCTTTCACATTGTTTCTCTTTCTCTCCCCCTATCTTTTTATCCTCTCTCTTTCGTGTGCATGTCTGTTTGAACATTAATATACTTCACCTCTGGGAAGATGAATGTGTATTTAATATTGGTCATTTATATAGTAGAAATGTGAAATTATTTTTGAAATTGAAGCATTCTAGACTGAGAAAAGGCAGAAAATGTATTTTTTACTCATGTGGCTGAAAGACAACAACTCCCAGAATGCACTTGCTTTGCTGCCCTTACGAGGCCACTCCCAAACCACGCCTACCGGTTACAGGCGGCAGAATCTGAAAAATGGAAACAACTAGGCTTGCTTTGATACATCGTGAGTTATTTGATAAATTTCCATCGAAATGCTGCTAAATTGCGTTGTACCGGGATGTACTAGCCTAATGTATATTACACAACTTAGACTTTCACATTAAAAATATGATGCAAAGCAGGACCATGTCAACAGAGTAACGTTAGCTTATAGCTCTGCATATGAACTGTTTTCCTCCAATTGAAATCACTATTTCTCTGAGCTAATACATTATCTAGGCTAATCCATACTCTAGTAACACTAAAGGTTTATAAAAAGAACCACAACCAATGTGAGTTATAACTTTTAATTAAAAAAATAATTAATATTAACACTTTAACACTCAAAGCTCTGCGGATTCAGTGATCTCGTTCAGAAGAAAATGGCATCGCTGAGATTCGCGACAGCAATAGGACTCTATATCTGTTTCCATAGGCGCACAGCGAGAGCACTGACACCGCCAGTCCGCCCCAGCTCGAGTCTGGCCAGGCTCAGGTCTCGCTCCGGCCGCCTCTTGTTCCTCCATCTCCCGCAACTGTTTATAAAAATCCTCAGATGACGCAAAATGACGATTTTTGCGTCATCGGAGGATTTTTTCCAGACTAAAAATGTATTTTTTCTTTCATATCAGGGGGATATGAGGGGGGGGGGGCACGGTAATTCAAAAATACTACTGGTTTTCTACTGATACAAAGCTTAATGCTAAATCCTGAAGTATCCCTTTAAATAGCAGTGTGTTAACAAGACAAAACATGCTATCAAATACTTCCACAACCCCATATATTAATTTGGCTCTATACATTTATGCATCCAGCTAATGCTTTGATGCAAAGTGACTTTAAGCTAAGAGTGGATCGATACCAAACTTTGGCATTGGTAAGATACTAGCCTCAGCATCAATGTTAAATCAATATCTTAGGCAACAAATAAACAGCCTCGGTCAACTGATCAAAGGAAACTAGGGCCGTCAAAGCATTCGATAATTCAGTGTCAATAATGATAGTAATTCATGATTAACCTCATTGTTTTATAGTTAACACATTCAGTTCCTTTTTAAAGAAGGGAAACAAAATAAAGTGTTAATTTGCATGACATGTAACCAGTGTTGTTATTGCTAACTAAGAAAAAACAATTAAAAATGGTATTCATTAATTGAAACAAAGATAAAATAAAATATGAATACTATATGAAAAGCATCCAAATATTAATATGAATAAATACTGTAATTGTATATAAATAACACTAAAATTACACTGCACGTTAGTTGATATTTATGTAAAGACACAGGACAGAGAAATATTTCTTTCTCTGAAAGAAACAGTGCTCACACACTCTATATTTCTCAAAATGCATCAAAACATGAAAATACACAAACTAAACTTGATGCAAATCTGCAATGATAACTTTCGGTTGCACTTTATTATAAGGTGTCCTTGTTCCAGTGTAATTATACATTTAAATACTGAGTAACAATAATTAACAGCATGTAACAAGCACACTGTAAAATAAAGTGTTACCAGATTTTCTACACATTTTGTCTAAAACAAAGCTTTAAAACTCAAAGTTTGACTCAGTTTTGGTCTGATTCATTAACGTTAAGACCATGTGTGTGGGTTAAAACAGTGCTGCTAACCTCATTTGCCACATTGAAACATTGTATTTTCCCTTTTACAATAAATGTCCTGGTGCTGCCCATTTAACCAAACAGAACAAATTAAAATACAAGGTATAACTGAAAATTATGGGTTGTCTCATGCCATCTACACCAAAAAGGCAATGTAAAAAAGTCATTTTGGTTATTACAAGTGAATAATAATTACCATTATATCAGTCAGTGAGTCAGCCCTCTATTTTTCTGAGGAACACAGTGTAGCCTGGAAATCATTATTCATGTATTGTTATTAAAGGAGCTGTTATTTTGCTAATAGCACATTTTAAACATCAATATTAAATGAACCATCTAAAATATATGTTCAATATATCCTTTTCCTCTGCAGCCCTGATATCGGCTGGCTGTTGCAGCAGCTCCTGTAGAAGTGTCAGGCTTTGGGACAGGTAAGGTTCACATCTGTACTGTACAGTTTGCATGTTACTAATGCTCAAAAGAGGATTATCATGGCATATGCTGAAGATTCACATGGTTATATATTTGTGTTTGTGTTTGTGTGTGTGTGTGTTAAAGGGATACTCCACCCAAAAATGAAAATTCTGTCATCATTTACTCACCCTCAAGTTGTTGCAAACCTGTATGAGTTTCTTTCTTCTGCTGAACACAAAGGAAGATATTTTGAAGAACGATTGGAACAAAACGGTTATTTGGCACCATTGACTTCCATAGTAGAAAAAAAAAATACTATGGAAGTCAATGGTGCCAAAGTTCCAATCGTTCTTCCAAATATCTTCCTTTGTGTTCAGCAGAAGAAAGAAACTCATTCAGGTTTGCAACAACTTGAGGGTGAGTAAATGATGACAGAATTTTCATTTTTGGGTGGAGTATCCCTTTAACACTTAAGTTAGTGTAGTATCACTACTGTTTAAAAGTCTGAGGTCAGTAAGTTTTTTGACAAAATAATACTTTTATATAAGGATGCATTAAATTGGTCAAAAGTGACAGTAAAGAAGTACAATATTACAACATATTCCTATATTAAATAAATGTTCATTTGAACTTTCCATTCATCAAAGAATCTTGAAAAAAATGCATGTTTTCACACACACACACACACACACACACACACACACACACACACACACACACACACACACACACACACACACACACACACAAAAAATTAAATAAAATTAAGCAGCTGTTAAGCACTGATAATAAGCAATGTTCCACCAAATCAGCATATTAGAATGATTCTGGAGGATCATGTGACACTAGCCGCATTTCCATTAAAGATTTTGCGATATTTTCTAAATGTCGATAAAAAACTATTGCAAAATGACAGCGTTTCCATTAACTGATGTTATGCGACTAAAACGTAATTTTTTTCTCTCGCAATAAGTCATTCCAAAAATCATGGCGACGGATGTTGGTAGGTTTATGTATATCCCAGCCACCGCACTAGCTATTATTTTTAATCGAAGGAGACGTAGGAGTGTTATCCAAGCATTAATGGCAAGGAAAGCCCCTTATACTTGAGAGCGGCACATTTGAGGTGTTTCTCCCTCCTATCTGCTTCAAGGTCTTGATAAATTGTGGCATTTCTTTGTTGTTTAGAATCCAGTATTCCCGTAATACTCTCGTCATCTGTCCAAACATGTCGCGCCTTCTTTATGATCAACTTTTACGTACACCAGGTGACCTGTAAATGCGGAAATTTTTTTCCATTGGAGTTTTGTGAAATGTTCCTTTTTCAAATTGCCTGAAAAACCACCTCATGTGAGCGTAAAAACTTTTTTGCGATATATGGGAGATTTTGCGAAATTGACGCGTTTCCATTGGTTGTATTTTCAATTCGCAATTTCAATTTGCAATTTGAAGGGTAATGGAAATACGGCTACCGAATACTGGAGTAATGATGCTGAAAATTCAGCTTTGCTATCACAGGAAAATGTAATGAATTACATTTTAAAACATTTATTTTAAATTGTAATAATGTTTCGCAATTTTACTGTTTTTACTTAGCCTGGGAAAACCCAGACAACTTCCGGCAAATTTAGATTTGCTCTGAAAGTTAGTCTGGCAAAGAGCTCATTCAAGCCCATTTCCAATCCGTCGAAATCGAGGCACCAATCAGAAACGTTGGGGCGGGCTTTACACGATGACGACAGCGCTGGGTTTTAGGTCTATTCGCGACGTCCGTTGGTGACGCCCCTCTGGAAATGATTTGTTTATGACGCTTTGCCAGACCATAACTCAGTTACAACTGAGAATGGTCTGGTTTTAACCAGGCTAGTTTTTACTGTATTTCCGATCGAATAAACGCAGCATTAGTGAGCATGTGAGACTTCTTTCAAAAACATTAAAAGCATTTGGGTCTTTTGAATAGTAGTGTGGATTTATGTTAGTGTGAGGCAGTTTTACAGGCTGATTTCTGGAAGGTCTGTGGGGTAACTGACCCTTGATCCTTCTCAGATGCTCCATCTAACAGAAACTAGCAGATAAGTTAATATTTAATGATGCAGCAGATTTAATGGCAGAATAATTCAACCTGAGGGAAAGCATTAGAATCAGTTGCCCTCTTCATTTTGCTGAGCACACAAAAGTTAAACACACACAAATAAAATAAAAAAAAAACACGAATGAATACTAAAACACTACATGTTGCCATTTTATATATAAATATGCAAACTCATATTCCATCCTAATCAACTGTTCATTTTACCCCATAGTTTTGATGCCTCCTGACCTCGACTGGATCTGGATCCAGCGCTGGGACCCGGGACATGAAAAAGGATCCCTGTTGCTTTCATTTAACTTGCACTGACAGAAATGGAAGGCGAGGATGAAAAAGTGTGATTGAAGGACAATAACTTTTTTAGAGCAGC